TCTTTTTTAACTTTCTCTGTGAATTAGTGTTCAAAGTGCACTTTCGAAAATTTGCGAAAAAAAAAAAAATGCAACGCGCTCAAAATACTTCGCTAACTAATCCGCTAAAATAAATCCCACAGCACAGTTACATTAAGTTGAGCCTTTGGAGCTGTCATAAACGGCATGCAAAACGCATTCAATGAGGCGGGCAGGTGGGCAATACCTGAAAACCTAAGCAGCTTACTGTTGCAGCCAATCACTAACTAGCGCTAGGGTAAAAGTTGCTTTGCGTGCGGCGACAAACGCTGTTCATGTTGCTCCCAAGTCGTACATGAGAGAGGGAGAGGGGCAGAGATAGGGAAAACAACAAAATTTGATTCAGCCTACATGCAACTTGTGGCACGCAATTAAAATCTTCATTAGCCGCGTTTAATTTCCACTTGTGATTAAAAATAAATAATAATAAAAACTAAAGGCAAATCGAAGTCGTGAGAGGAGTGAGAAGGCGAGAGAGGAGTGAGAAGTGAGGAGAGTTGAGAAAAACAAACAGAGAATAAGAAATAAATACAACTTGTGACATGTGTCGCTGACTTATCTCCATCGCCAGCCGTCGGCCGAGTGCTGCCCGTACAGGATACGAGTCGGAGTCCGGGGCCGGGTCGGGCCGGACACCTTGCGGCCTGGGGCAGACTGCCCGACTGCCTGGCTGACTGCCTGATTAGCGTTGGCCGTTCGATTCGCTGCATTCGCCTCGATAAGGAGCTATCAATGCGAGCCTAAGTGACAGTTGACTTGTTTATCAATTGACAGCTTTGCTGCGGCTAAATGTGAGACAGAAATACACACACACACACACACTTACACACCAACAAACTCACAGACATAGTCTGACTACAGAGATTTACGCTGCGAAAAGTAACTGTTAATAAGCTTGTTGCAGCGGTCTGTGAAAATGTTGCTTTTAATTAAAAGTTGTTGCCGCTTTTGCAATTGTGCGTTCCGCCCCGCCCTCTCTCCACACAATCTGTCATTGGCTGTGGGGCGGTGGTGCGGACTGTCGGAATGTTTGTACATTTGTAGCCCATAGTATTTATACTTGTATTTTAAAGCCCGATGCTGTCAAGATAAAGAAGCCAACAGGCAGCCTCAGCGCATGTTCAACAAGCCAAGTATGCCAGCACGGTAGAGGCCAAAAGGCACCGCACACTTCACAGCACACACACACACACACACACACACACACACGCACAGAGATACTTGCAAATGCTTGTTTTTGATTTTTGAGAGCATGTTTAAAACGCCAAAAATCCTACGCATTGCCAACTTTTAATATGATTTTACATTTAAAGTATTTCGAATTAATGCCGATATATAAATGTATTTCATTTGAATTTTCCTCTAATTATGCAATGCATTGCTATCACTTGCAATATGAACTCACTGCAAAAATTAAAAAAAATTTTAAATGTTTTACAGTCGAGTTCCGATAATTCGAAATGGCATATACGATTATTTTTCGATTAACGCATAAATTTAAATGATCGAAAACGAACTTTTTTCAAGGGAATAGAATTTGTTTCGATTTATCGTTTTTATTCATATTTAACGGTGTAAAAGTTATCGAGACTCAACAGTATTCCCAATATATTTTTGCAATATTCAATAAGTCACACTTCCACTTGAGTAAGATTCATATGAATTCTTAAAGCAGCTCTTCTACTCTGCTTCTTTTTCTATAAGCTACTCTGCTATTTGAGCAGGACCTGCATATATAGATAAAACTCATGCCAAAAGCCCCTATGCATAACTTCACTTATTCGACTTTCCACTTACTTTCCGGCTTAAATCATTCCCTGCTGCTTTATGAACTACCATGCGGCTGCTTCTTCTTGAAACGAGAGAATAGAAAACTTAATTTCCAAAGTTGAGTTCAACATTTCTGCAATTAAACAATATTTCCGCGTCAAGTGGAAATACTGCGTTGGTCACTGTGGCAACTGGGATTAGGATTACTTTTGCAGTTGCTGCATTGTTCGTTTGTTGTTAACTTGTTCAGAAATAAATTTGCCAGATTTGTGGAGAGCTGAGCTAGGCTAGCTGCTGGAAGGAACATCTCATTTAGACCCTAATGAGCTGGCCGGCGTAGTCAGCGCAGTGGCATGTAAATCTTACAGCTGGGCTGCTCCACTTACGAACAACATCCATTTCCATAAATATCAATTAAGGCGAAAGAGAGAGGGAGAGAGAGAGAGGGAAAAAAATAATATCAAAACGGCGACAGAGACATGCGGCTCGTAGTCTTCGCCTGCTACCGGCAATCAGGGCCTACCTGTGGCAGCAGCCTACGCAGTGAAGTTTTCGTCTTCGTCTCACCTTCGTCTTCCTCTTCATCACGGCTTTTTTTTTTTTATATAATTGGACAATTTAGGTGCTACTACGTCGCATTTTTTTGTACCCTAGCCAGGCTGCTAATTAAATGAAAATAAAAATGTCGAAGCTCATGGGCGGGCGATGAAAACTTACCGGAAATTTAGCTCAGCTCCAGTTTTGGTGTTCAAGCGTAACGGCCAATGTGGGCGTGTCGCAGCACAGCACAATTGAAGTCACGTCAAGGTTCAATGGGCTGTGCAACAATAGTTGAACACAATTTATGGATCATTCGGTATTGCTCTTCAAATTCAATTAGTTCCCTCAACCCCTCTCAAAAAAAAAAAAAAAAAAAAAAAAAAACTATGGAGAAAACTTTTCCAACATTCCGACGCTGTGCGGCGGCATAAGAGGCTTAGAAAGAAAATTATTAATAAACTGCTTTCACTAATTTACAGGCTCGCGACGGACTGAGGCAGAGCGAGGGCTACATAAACATAACAACATTTTCAGAGCTCTATTTGGCAACACTAAGCGTCCACTAAGCATCAATATTTCATGCTAAGCCTATTAGAGATTATTGTGCCAGCTTACAAAGGCCTAAATGACAAGTGGCAACTGCTAGCCGAGTTGGGGGCGCGCCAGAACCAGAGATAGAGCCAGCGACGGTTGGCTCCTGGTCTCTGCGGGGCTTATTAAGCGTTTCATTTGCATAATATGTATGTGTGACAGCAAAATGAAGTTGAATGAAATACTTACAAAACAAATTCTGCATTTCTTAGCATTTGAATGTGGCTGATTTTAACGAAAGGCTTGGCTTAGGTCGAAATTGATTAGGCTAGGAAATTATTGAGTGCAGTGGGCGGTTATTATTGAATGACAGACAGGGAATGATTACATGATTGACTGACTTACTGTTGGAACTGAAATGGCTGATAATTCGATTATGTAATATACTTATCAACAATAAGTCCTCAGTGATTTAGTTTATAAACTGATTTTATAGTAGCTTGTACTTCCACATAAATGAGTATAAATAAAATAAGTTTAGTTTTTATTACCTAATATACATAAGCTTAAATATTTTGTGTTAGCACTGTTTAAGATACAATATACTTTTTAATATATATATATATATATATATTTTTTTTTTATATATTACTATTCTATTTTATATATATATTTATTATAATTTTATATGTTTATATTTCAAATGAAGATAATGCATATAAATTATTATTCTGTCCAATATTATTTTGGAAATACATATCATTAATATTTATTTTTGGTGTTCTTGGTGCAATTTTTGTTTATACCGATAAATTCTTCGAACTAACAGATCAAAGGGTAAAAGATAAAAGTTTCTTTAATTCTCTATTAATATAAAGACATATTTTTCATTGCAACCGGATTTTACCTTATAGCTCCTGATTGATCTCAAAATATGAAGATTGTGTAATTTGTAATTAAGATGTTTAAGTAGTGTGCAGGCTATTCCTATGCATTGGGTATTATATTTCATATAGCTAAAATGAATATGATACATGTATAATTGAAGACTCAGTAGATCTTCTAAGCTCTATTTATCTGTTTGTCTAATAATCTATGTATTTTTTTATGTATATAAATAACAAATACACAGTTAGACAATCTGATAAAGCAAATAAATTTATTAAAATATATTAAATTATATTTTTTAATTGTTAAATGCAATATACAACAATAATATAACAAACAAATAATATATAGGAAATAAATATAATATTATTACTTTTAAGCTTATTCCATTTTATTTTATATCGCTTAGACTGAGAGAACAACGTGCATACAACAACTCAGCTATATCCTTTTCTATAATATTTATAGTTTATGGGGACTACAAAGTTTATGTTAATATATGTATATGTATATATGTTTATGTCGCTTAAATATATTTTCACAAAGCGAAAATACCCTGATTTTTCATATTCAATGAGTTCATAGCATATTAAATGAATTTTAATATTTAATATTTAATATATAACAAAATATTTAATATTTATCTACATAACTAACATGACACGTTTTTTAAATATAATAAGTTCCTATATGGTGTTATAATTACTTTCAAAATATTTCGACCTGCTATGCCTTTTGGAAGGCAAGCTAATCAAGCTTTCAGCCAACTCAATTCCTAAATCGATATATTCAACTGAGTGCGAGGAGCAATGTTTGCGATTCACCGATGGAAAACTGTGAGCCAGTGTGAAATACTGTGGCTCAGAGGCCACCTGAGATGCACATGCGAATAATGAATGCTTTGCAGCTCGTGATTATGTGAAAAGTGGTCGATGTCGATGTCGATGTCGTTGGCCCCGGGGCGGGCAGCAGGGGGGAGGTCGGGCAGGAAAAATATTTACACACTATGTGGCGTGCAAACATTTCATGAATCCATTTGCGCAGCAGCTTGGAAAATCGTTGGAAAAAAGCGAAAATGAAATGAAATGAAAAACTAGCCATTTTCGGTGCCCCGAGACGACACGTGAATGAAAAAGAAAACTGGTCAGGTGAGCCAGGAAATAAACGATAGAATTCGACAAATGATTAGCAGTTGCAGAAAAAAAACGCAAACTATTTAAAAACAGGATTCCAAGAGCGGATGTGGGTCAGCTATGTATACGCTCTTGGCCTGTGGCCGGGCGAGTTCAGCTGCAGCAACATCTGCTTGGAGCTGCAGTAACTATTTCGTGGTCAACGAGATGAGAGTGCAGCTCATCTGTTTCGCTGTCTTGGAAATTCTGTGCATTGGCTGTGCCACTGAAGCAGCGGTGCAGCCCGCCGCCGCCGCCTCCGTTCACGTTCTGGTGGATCGCGGGGAGGATTTTGTCCAGTGGCTGGCCAAAATCTTGCTGCCCACAGCAGCCCAACGAGAGGCAGTCACAGCTCGATCCACCCAAGTGGAGCCGCTGGAACGGGAATGCACCGCCTGCCGCTGCGGGCTGATCTATACGCTGGATAGCCAGCATGCTTCCAGGGCGCCGAGTCGCCATCATTATCCCTGGCTGGCTATGGTGCTGCTGGCAGGAGACTTCCACTGCGCCGGCTCGCTGATCAGCGACCTCTATGTGCTCACAGCTGGCCATTGTGTGGAGGGCGTGCCGACTGAGCTCATCCAAGTGCATCTGCTCGAGCCCAATCGCAGCGCCAGCGATGCTCAGGTGCTCGAACGTCAAGCCACGCACGTGACGGTGCACGAGCTATATAAGCCATATAGTTTCGATCATGATATTGCCCTGATACGGCTGGATCGTCCGGTGAGCTTTGAGCAACGTCTGCGACCCGTTTGCCTGCCCTCAGCCAGCGCCAGCTACGAGGGCGAATGGGCCAAGCTAACGAGCTGGAGTGGGCCAAGACAGAGTGCGGCCTTTGGAATGCAAAGCCTAAAGGTGGGATTGGAATTAAATGATATACATATATACATATATAACTATATATTTAAGTGGGTATAACTAGCTAGCCGTCAACTTTTCTAATAATTCTTTATGTTTTCTTTCTTATCTACATTTCTTTGACCGCAGAGACTTAACACAATTCGATTGAAAGTTTCTCTATCTATAAATTTCACATCTCCCATTTGCTGTTCCTTCAAGTTCTCTTTGCTCTTCATATTCAAGCTCTCGCGTGGAAGGCCCTATCTAAAGTTAATTGTTTTTTAGCTGTTCGCGTTTGTTCTATATATCTAATGACTTTATCCTAGATCTGTTCCCTGGCATCGTTTCAATTTATTATAATTATTTTTTTTACCTTCCCAATACTCTGCACACCCTTCACCGCCCCTCAACAGGAAGTCGATGTGCTCATCCTAAGCCAATCCGAGTGCCGCCGCACCAGCTCCACCAACAATTTGCTCTGTGCCAACTGCCTGGAGGATGCCTGCAGCGTCGACAGCGACGGCTCGCTCCATGTGCTCTTCGACGAGCTGCTGGGTCAGCATCAGCTAGTCGGACTTGTCTCCAAGGCGCCGGACCGCTACACACCTGTGAATCAATACCTGCGCTGGATTAAGGCCAACACTGCCAATGCCTGCTACTGCATGGATTTAGCCGGCGAGGACTACTAGCTCGGCCAGGGACTAATTGCTGGCCCGCTCCTGTCAAACTTGCACTGCAACCAGGGATGGAGTGAAACTTTTGGCATTGCATATGTATTAGTAAATTTTGCATAAACTACTTTGGCGCACTATGTCCCAGCACACATCCACATCCACATTGATCCGCCCGTAAGATATCCATAACTCTGGCCGTAAAATGTAAACGTAAAACGTAAAACGTAACCATTGGTAAATAAAAAAGCAATTTGAAAGTGGGTGAGCTGCAGGTGGGGCAATGTCCTTCTATTCGGATAATACTCCAATCTTCAACTTTGCAAGTTTGCCAAAAAAAAAAAAAAAAAATAAATGAAAAAAATGAAAGGAAAAACGGGGCCAGGGACATGCCGCAGGGGCGCACCTGGTCCAGGACAAGGCCATAGTTGTCTCACTCCTTCTCCATATAAATAAATCCCAATTCGGTGCATATCAACTGCCACCGCATGCGAAATATTTTCTGCAATTGAGTTTGTTATGCATTTTGCATTTGTGCAATCATAAAATCTCCCACCCGAAAAATAGAGAAACCCAACAACGACAGGGGGGAAAAGGAGGCAAGGCCGCTTGCAGGAGCAAGTTTTTCACTCTAGATAAATTGCTCGAAATATTTGCGGCAAGTGAGTTCTTAAAGTTGCATTGCAATGCGATAAGCACAACTTTCCGTTATTGCCAACAAATTATTTACTTTGTACGAGAAATGGCTTATGCGCTGTGAGTTTTGATTGGCTCTAATGGAGAGCTACGATAGTGCACCGACACAAACAAGAGAGAGAGAGAGAAAGATACTTTTAATAAAAATACATTTATAAAGTTCCAAATTGAGTTATCATTGCAGCAGCAGCAGCAGCAGGAGGAGGAGCAGGAGTCGAGTCTATGTGGACGAATTTGATTGGGAAACTGTTCTAAATTATTGAGAGTATAATTACCTTAGCTAGAAACGTGCTGCAAAGTGTTTCAATATTTTTACAGCAAATTTATGTCTTTTGCAACAATATCAAATATTCTATATATTTTTATTAATATCTATATATATATAATCATTTTTACATTTTTATTTGTCTTTAATTCTAATATTTATTTACATATAATTAAATTAAATCTGTTTGAGTTGTATACATTTGTGTGTGTTTTTTTTTTTAATAATACGCATTAAATTCTATTTGGGTATAGGTTTTTTTTTTTTTTTTTTTTTTTTTTTTAATTATACCAAATTTATATATAACATTTTATATTTATATATATTTCCATCTGCATATTTATTATTATTGGATAATGAGAAGAAAAGATTAAACATAATAAAAAAATAAAAAAAAAACATAAAAATGAATATAAATATATATGTATATATGAACAAAATTTTGTTTTTATTATATGATTTTTTACTAAAAAATATATACATTTTTAAATATATTTCTGTGTAAAAATATCTATTACTTATATAAATGACATTTTTTATTTAAAGCTCGCATCAATAATGTACAACAAAGTGTACAACAAAAATTTTTTTTAGTAAAAAATGTATATCAATTAAATATAAATGAAAAGAAAATAGATTTAAAAAAGTATATAAAATATAATTATTTTACAAATAAAATTAGTTTTTATAGATTATATATTTGGAATAAAAATAAAATTTATGAGTGACAATTAAAAAAGTAAATAAATTTATATTCAATATAATTGGTAAAATATAAAACAAAAATCGAATAAACTGTATAATATACATATTTTAGCATATTTATGCTTTTAATTTGAAACTATACTTCGATAATAAAAGTTAAACAAAGCAAATAAAATTTATTGGCTGACTCCCAGCTAATTTGATTCCCAGCTAATTTACAGTTGAGCACTCAAAGAATTATTCAAATTTAACAAAAACAAAGTCAATATAAAATTTAACTAGCTTTCCAAATATGATGCCACCAATAAGGCTTTCCACGCACACACACACACAAACTGCTCCCATTTGTCGATGCGAGACTCACCTATATTCCCGGTAAAAGCCAACGACAAATTGCCAAATCGTGGAAACACGGTTTAGTCTCATAAATCGAAATATGCAAATAGTTGGTTAGTTTTTTTTTTTTTTTTTTTCTAACAATCTCTATGGATCATTAAAAATGTTTACGACTTCATATTAAAACCACACAAACTGTAAGCCGTAAAGAAATGCATTTATACTTTGCCAATAAATTTGTCTCACTTCGTTTTTTCGTTGTCGTTGTTGTTGTCTGTCTTCTCTGGGTCTGGCTGTGTTTTGGGGCCAGGGCACATGCTCATAAAGATTTCCTACTCAAAGCCATAAAGCAGTCTCGGTGTCTTGTCTTAAAGTTAAAGTACTGACGGCATGGCCAGCATGGATTTCCAGCTAAACGACAAATAACTTGGCATTTAATAACTCTACGGGTTCGTTATATTTCTCTCTCTCTCTCTCTCTCTCTCTCCCCTGTCACTCTCTCCCTCTCTCTCTCTCTCCTTCTTTTTAATTCCATGTTCTTCAGTCGCTTCATTATTATGCGTTGAGTCGATTTCATTTCAAGCCGCGAGGTTTCATAATTTAAAACTGCGTTTTGTCGCAAAACGAATTTATGTGCTGAAATTAATGTTAAGGTTGGGTATCCAAATGTATGGATAGAAAGAGAAGGCAAGAGAGTGGGAGAGAGCCAGAGAAGAGGAGTAAGCGAGAGAGTAAGTTAATTAAATTTGATTTAAACTTTTTATGCACTTACAAATGTTAAAAGAATTCTTGAAAAATAAAATAAATAAAAGTCATAATCAAAACTTTGAAGTTTAGAGACTCAATAAAGCAGCTAATATAGTCAGCTTCAGGGCAATAAATTTATTTCTATCCAATAATCACATGTCATGTTCTTTGTTAAGGGTCGCCCAGCGAGCGATGCTGCCCAATCAGATGCCATGCTAAAGCAGCTGTCACCGATTCTGGGGAAGGCAAACATGACACATCTCATTATGATGTGGCTGCCAAATGATGAAGCCTCCTTCTTGGCCACAAGCATTTGCATACACAGTCACAATTCCCACTCTCAATGTATATATATATGTGTGTGTGTGTGTGTGTTTGTGTTGTTGCTGTCAGAGTATTTTGTTTATGATTTTGTAGCTGTCATAAAGTTATTAAAAGTATATGACATTTTTATGACATTATGACGTCTCGACTCAGAGCCCGATTTCCCGAGTCACGACATACCAGATGAACAGCAGGAAAAAACATGTAAAAAAAAGAAGAATGCCACTTGCTTTTGTTTTCATTTGGGTCTTGCAGCTTCGAGGGCCTCTGAAACATGCCATGAAATATGATATCAAATAAAAAGCAAATTAAAGACGATAAAAATCGTGTTGCGTCTCATGCTGTGAATTGTATAAGAAACATTTTTCGTCTCTTTTTTGCAGAGACTCAGAGAGAGAGAGAGTGAGAAAGAGAGTGAGAGTACTTAAAATTTTTAACAAAATATGTAACGCCAGGAAACAGATGTCTTTGACACCTCAAAAGTTTTTATATTCTGAAATGGTCTATAGAAGCTTATCCAACTCAAAATTATCATATGAATATACATTTATTGAATTTGATATGCTGATACATGCAGAGGTAGACTAAATAGTCTATTTTCAATCTTAATGTATATTCTATATATATGTATGTACATGTTTTCTATATATATAAGTTCATTTTAAATTGGTTGCAAAATAATTGTATAATATATAAAATACATATTCCCTGATATTCCAATATTTCTGCCTTCATTTACATAAATTTTTCGATATCATTTAAATTGCATAAATAATTTTTGTTTTAGACCTTTTTGATATTCTTAGAGCTTTCAAATTAATATTGATTCTATGTTTTAATCCAAAAATCATGCTACGCTCTTCGATTCACAATTTAGCCTGACAGGAAATTCTATATTTCTATATTTGATTAACATGTTATGCTTATATGATTAGAAACTTAGTTACAAAAGTCTTCATCAATAATTATCTGCAAAGTCTAAGAGCAACCCCAGCAAGAGTATTCAATATTCACCCTTATGAAGCTTAACTATTTCCCTTTATTTCTCTTTTTTTAGTTTTTTGCGAAATCGAAACCAAAAGCCACTCGAGCGACCTGTCTTTGGGGTCTTTTAAAATTGGCCTCGGCTTGAATCTGATCGCTTCGGCAGTTGTTGTTGTTGTTGTTGTTGTTATTGCTGTGGTTATTCGCCTTGTTATTTGGTGGCTCATAAAACTTGTAAACATCGCACTGATTGTGCCTCCGGTCTGAAAGCCCCAGCAGCCCAGTCCCCGCCGCCAGCTGCCCCTCGAGCAGCCTCTTCGACCCCCGCCGGCTGCCCCTCTCATGCATTCAGCGCTGTGAGCGTTAAATGCAAAGATATTTCTCGTTCATATTGTATTACAGCCACAGTTTTGATAGGCCCCGTCGGCCCTTCCCACTCAGCACTATGTCTACAAGGTAATGAGGCGAAGGCGTGGAGATTTTGATAAGCTGATAAGCGTTTTAGTGTTTCTATGCCATATTAATTTCAGTAAAGGGCTCAGGCCATAGCAGAGTGAAGTAAAGGTGAGGTGAAGTGAGGCAGAGTGAAGTAAAAGTTGGTTGCATGAGGTAAACATTTTTATTATATATGTGCAGTGACAGATATGAATATGGAAATGAATAAATATTTAAGTAAAATCTTAGGTTCAATAAATTGTTTTTTTTTTTTTTTTTTTTTTTTTTTTTATTAACAAAAATGGATTTTAAGCTTAGCTTCAAAGAGCTCGATTTATTATTTCAGTGTAATACTATTAAGTGCATTTATTTTTATTTATATAAAATATATTTTATTAAAAACAAAAAATAATAATAAAAATTTTTAATTATTCTTTGTGCTTATTTTGATTTTATTTTTATTATTATTATTTTTTTTTTTTTTTTTTTTTGGGTTCTTACTTACTTTACTTTACTATTTTATTTA